CTTCGAAGAGGGCGTTTTGGCGTCCAACAGCGCGCTAAAACGCCCAGAGGCAGACAACAATACACTGGGAGGACGTTTTGGCGCACAAACAGCACGCTAAAACGCCCATGCACGAACCAATCAACCCAAGATTTAATTAAGATTTTCCAATGGATACCGGATTGTGATATCTGAAATTTAAGCAGAAACATATCAATCTTGATTTTAATTGATAGAGATCTACGGGAAGATTTGATGAAAGATCACAACAAAGATTCGAAGCTCAAATCTGTCAACCTAATCTACAAGATCTTAAATAAAAAAGCTTGGATGCTAACAACTTCGAACTTAAGACAGCATTGTTAGACCAACCGTGGATGCTAACAACTTCGAACTTAAGCCAACATTGTTGCAACTGATTCAAAAAGATCAGTTCGCTGGAGAAAGCACGGAGGACCCTTATATTCATCTTGATAACTTCTTGCTTTACTGTGATACATTAAAGATGAATGGAGTCTCTCGTGACGCCATCTTGCTCAGATTATTTTCATGTTCACTAAAGGATGACGCAAAAGCTTGGCTTCAGTCACTGCCTGAAGGAAGCATCAGCAACTGGGATGACTAAGCAATGAAGTTCTTGGCCAGATTCTTCTCAGCTTCAAAGATGGCAAGGCTCAAATCAGAAATCACTGCTTTCGAATAAAAAGAAAGTGAATCCTTGTACGAGGCTTGGGAAAGATTCAAAGGATTACTCCAGAAGTTTCCTCAACATGGCATTGAAGCATGGGAGAAAGGAAAAATCTTCTTCCAAGGGATGACGCCAAACACAAGAACACTGGTGAATGCTGCCGTAGGAGGCTCATTAAAATCAAAAACTCCAGAGGAAGCATTGGAATTGTTGGAATCCTTAGCTTCTCAGGAGTATGACAATTGCTCCAGTCACACAAAGGAGAGAAGGAATTATGAAGCTCGACGGCTATGATGCAATCTTAGCCCAAAATGAGCAAATGCTGCAATTTCACAAGAAACAACAAGCACAACTTGATGCTCTTACAAAGCAATTTAATAATTCCCAAGTTTCTTCTGTTAGTAATTCTCAAATTATTTGTGGTATTTGTGCAGCTGCTCATGTAACTGAAGATTGTGACTACATGAGAACAATTGAAAAGCAACCAGCGAAGGTCAATGGAATCTGGTACGATCAAAAGAACTAGAACAACCCAGGAAGAAACCAATATTGTAAAAACTATAATCAAGGGTGGAAAAATCCTAACTAACACCCTGGGTTTAGTTACAAATCAAATCATCAGCTGAACCCTCTTCTGACATTGCAACAATAACCCTCACCCCAGGGCAACACTTCAGAGTGGGAGAAGGCTTTTGTGCAGCTATCTAAGACTACCTCAGACTACATTCAGAATGCAAATGCCTTTAGAGATTAAACAAGAGCTTCATTCCGGAATCAATAAGCTTTTATCCGGAATCTGGAAACTCAGATTGGCCAGTTGTCAAGACAGTTTGCGGAAAGAACACAGGGAACCTTTCCAAGTAACACCGACACGAACCCAAATGCACAATGTAATTCAATTGCCACCAGAAGTGGGATCGTGATCCAACCTGTGATAAAGCCGCAAGTTGAGAAGAAGAAAAAAGCTAAACCAGAAAAAGAAGAAGATGCAGGAGAAGCTAAAAAGAGCAGACCAGAGAAGAAGCTGTTCAAATGGGAGAAAAAGAAAGCTTTGGAGAGGCAACCGAAGCCGGCAAATCTGTCTCCCTATGCACGGATTCCATACCCTCAGAGGTTGAAACAAGAGATCCAGAAACAATAATACACCAAATTTCTGGACATTTTCAAGAAGCTGCAAGTTAACATTTCGTTCGTAGAAGCCCTGGAAAGCATGCCCAATTATGCGAAATTCATGAAAGACCTTCTATCAAAGAAGCGCAAGATGAAGGAGTGTGAAACAGTTGCCCTGACTGAGGAATGCAGTGCAATCATCCAGAAGAAACAGTTGCCCTGGCAGCTTCAGTATTCCTATAGCTACAGGAAATATTGAAGTAGGAAAAGCATTATATGATCTGGGAGCGAGTATAAATCTGATGCCACTGTCCATGTGCAGAGCTCTTGGAATTAAAGAACTAAAGCCAACTACGGTTTCTCTCCAGTTGGCTGATAGATCGATAAGACGACTAGATGGGGTAATTGAGGATGTTTTAGTTAAAATTGACAAATTTATCTTCCCTGCAGATTTTGTAATTCTGAATATGGAAGAAGATGCCGAGATTCCCCTATTGCCTGGAAGGCCATTCCTAGCCACTGCAAGAGCAATGATCGATGTCAAGCAAGGGAAACTGATGTTGAGGATGAACGAAGAAACAATCACCATTGATGTCTTTGAGTCAATGAAACATCTGTCAGATGAAGGAGACTGTTTCATGGTTAACATTATACAAGAAGCAATTGATGACACGATGAAAGAGGAGAGTTCCCTACTCAAGTTAGAACAAATCAACGAAGAAGCTGAATTTTCTGATAAAGAACCAGTGGTGGAAGAACTAGAAAGAAAGAAAGATGACATCCCTCTTGGAGCACCGAAGGTGGAGCTTAAGGAGTTACCTCCAAATATGAAATATGTTTTCCTTGGTGACAACAACACTTACCCAGTCATCATCAGCGTCGAGCTGTCAACCATGGAAGAAGAAAAGCTTCTTAAGGTGCTGAAGAAACACAAAGCTGCCATAGGATGGTCATTCTCCGACTTAAAAGGTATAAATCCTTCCTTTTGTACTCATATGATTCTAATGCAAGATGATATTAAACCTGTAAGGCAGCCGCAAAGGAGACTCATTCCCACCATGAAAGAGGTGGTAAGGAAAGATGTAGTTAAACTATTGGATGCAGGGATAATCTGCCCTATATCTGATAGTGCATGGGTAAGTCCTGTACAAACTGTACCCAAGAAAGGTGGAGTCATCGTGGTAAGAAATGAGAACAATGAGCTGATTCCAACAAGGACAGTCACCAGGTGGAAGATGTGTGTTGACTATAGAAGACTTAATGCAGCCACTCAGAAAGACCACTTCCCAATTCCTTTCTTGTACCAGATGTTGGAGAGATTAGCTGGCCATGCTTTCTACTGCTTCCTGGACGGGTACTCGGGTTACAACCAAATAGCAGTAGCGCCAGAAGATCAAGAGAAGACAACATTCACATGCGCTTACGGAGTCTTCGCTTACCGGAGGATGCCCTTCGGTCTATGCAATGCTCTGGAAACTTTTCAAAGGTGTATGCGTTATATCTTTTCTGATATGATTGAAAAATCCATTGAGATCTTCGTGGATGATTTTTCTGTTTTTGGTCCCTCTTTTGACACTTGCTTAGAAAATCTATCATGTGTTTTACAAAGGTGTCAAGAGAGTAATCTTGTTTTAAATTAGAAAAAATGCCACTTTATGGTAAAAGATGGCATTGTTTTAGGACACAAGGTGTCCAAAAATGGTATAGAAGTTGATAGGGCGAAAATATCTGTTATTGAGAAACTTCCCCCTCCCTCTAATGTTAAAGGTATTCGAAGTTTTCTCGGTCATGCAGGTTTTTACAGGCGCTTTATCAAGGACTTTTCCAAGATAGCAAAACCTCTATGCAAGCTGTTGGTCAAGGATGAGGAATTCAACTTCACGTATGAGTGTTTAGTTGCATTTAATATTTTAAAAGATCGATTGACCACTGCACCTATAATCACTGCACCAGATTTCACTTTACCTTTTGAGTTAATGTGTGATGCTAGTGATTATGCCATAGGAGCTGTCTTAGGACAAAGAAAAGATAAACTGTTGCATTTGATTTACTATGCTAGTAAAATTCTTAATGATGCACAAATGAATTATGCTACCACTGAAAAAGAATTACTAGTAGTAGTCTATGCATTTGATAAATTTAGACCGTATTTGCTGGGGTCTAAAGTAATTGTTTATACTGATCATAATGCTTTAAATATTTTTTGAATAAGAACGATGCAAAGCCACAATTACTCAGATGGATGCTGCTCCTTCAAGAATTCGAAGTAGAGATCAGAGACAAGAAAGGCGTGGAGAACTTGGTGGCTTATCACCTATCCAGGATCCAAGAAAAAGATCTTCAAGATGGACCGAAAATGAAGATCAGAGAAGAGTTCCCCAATGAGAAAATTATGGCTATAAATGTCATCTCAGATCTGCAACTGGAGGAAGTGAAGAGCACAAGTACACCTTCATGGTTCGCGAATTTCGCGAACTTTAAAGCAGCGGGAGAAATGGCAGTAGACTTCACATGGCAACAAAGAAAGAAGTTTCTACATGATGTTAAGAAATACCTATGGGATGATCCCTTCCTTTTCTAGAGATGTGCTGATGGAGTAATAAGGCGGTGCATTCCAGAAGAAGAAATGAAAGACATCTTGTGGCAGTGTCATGGTTCAAGCTACGGTGGACACTTCGCGAGAGAAAGAGCAGCCACAAAAGTGCTGATGAGTGGCTTCTATTGGCCAACACTCTACAAGGATGCAAGGAAGTTTGTTGAATCATGTGATAGATGTCAGATAACGAGGAATATTTCCAGAAGACATGAAATGCCCCTCAACAACATATTGGAGGTTGAGATCTTCGATGTGTGGGAAATAGACTTTATGGGACCTTTTCTCCCTTCTTATGGCAACAAATACATCCTTGTTGCGGTGGATTACGTCTCTAAGTGGGTTGAGGTTGTTGCTCTTCCTACTGATGATGGAGTACCGCGAGCAATCATAAGTGACAGAGGGACTCACTTTGACAACAAACAAGTAGAATACGTGCTGGATAAATGCGGAGTGAAGCATTAGATTGCAACACCGTATCATCTGCAAACAAGTGGTCAAGTGGAGGTATCCAACCGGGAGCTGAAACGTATCTTGGAGAAAACAGTCGGAAGTTCCAGAAAAGACTGGTCTAAGAAGCTTGATGATGCAGTGTGGGTATACCGGACTGCATTCAAGACACCAATAGGAATGTCTCCCTTCCAGTTAATGTTCAGGAAAGCTTATCACTTACTAGTGGAGTTGGAACACAAAGCACTGTGGGCAATCAAGTACCTGAATTTCGACTACAAGACCGCAGCTGAAAAGAGACTACTTCAACTGGATGAGCTAGACGAGTTCATATTCTTTGCATACGAGAGCGCAACTCTCTACAAGAGAAGAAGAAGAAATGGCACGGCAAGAAGATCCTACCTCGAGACTTTAAGGTGAGAAATCAGGTATTACTCTTCAACTCTCGCCTCTGTCTTTTTCCAGAGAAATTGAAGTCCAGATGGTCAGGACCGTTCATTGTGAAGAACTTGAAATCATATGGAGCAGTGGAGATCAGTCCACTGGATTCTGACAAAAGCTTCACCGTAAATGGTCAAAGGCTGAAACTATACATGGGAGGAGAAATTGGCTGGGGAAGAACAACCACTGTTGCCCTTGTAGAGGTAACTTGAACCAGGTACGTCAGGCTCGTGACGTTAAACAAGCGTTGATGGGTAGGCAAACCCATAAGTTACCATTTGATTTTAAATTTAATTTTATTTAATTTTGATTTCAAGAAAAAAAAAACAAAAACAGGTAGATGTGTGATACTAATGGTGTTGTAGTCTAAAGTGAGAGGAAGAAGAGGGCTCAAGCAGCTAAGGTATGTTTTATTTAATTTTCTAAGTTAATTTAAAATCCTTACTGCCTGAGAGTGTTTTAACGCTCAACAGAGCGCTAAAATGCTGAAGAAACCAAAGCTGAGTTCAAATAGCACGTTTTAGCGGCCACATGCGCGCTAAAATGTGCTCATAAGGAAAAAATTATCAAACTTCACTGCCTATGAGAATTTTGATGCTCTACTAGGCATTAAAACGCTCTTGAAAGGGATAATTAAGGATTCGAAGAGTGCGTTTTAGCGCTATTCTGGGTGCTAAAACGCGCTCATGAAGTAACAGAACCCAACCCCAATGCCACTAAGCGTTTTAACGCGCAAACAGAGCGTTAAAATGCCCTCATGCGACCCAGTCTTTTCAAATGCTTTTTATTTCCCCCCTTATTCCCCATTCCCTCATCCTCACTCTCATTCTCATTAGCACCTCATATCATTCTTCTGCATTATCTCCATCTGACTCTGCCAATCATCTCTCAGCTCGAAACACACAAGGAAATCCAGGTAATTTATTTCCTCACTATCTTTAATTTTTGCATTGCTAAGTAAAATTCTGAATTGGATTCACGGAGCATAGGGTTTCAAATGTTAAAATAGAACCTGGGGTTCAATGGATTGAGCTGTTGAGTGAGGGTTGACTGTGAACTTGAATATGATTGTTTAATTGGATAATTGTTGTGTGCAGTGTGAATTGGAATGGATTTTTACATGTCCACATAGGTTAATTTTTTTTTACATTCAAATGAAGCACACCATATGTTTGATGAAATGCATGAACCACGGTTGAAGAAAGTAGGGCATACATGAAAGGGAATTTGACCAAATCAGTGGTTCCGTTTGATTATCATTGAATTTACACTAATCCTTAGAAATGATATGCACTATGACTAATGATTCCCTACGATTAAACTTAATGAGCTCGGTGTACAATGGAGTTGTGATATTTTGCATTCACTAAGATTACTTGTTGAGATATTTGTTTTTGTAAGATTAAAATTGAATTAGAACCTTAACTTAAGAGGAGAAGCTTAGCTCCATGACTAAATTTATAGATTGCATCATGAATTGTTACTGGATTGTTATATGGTTGATCTGTTTTTGAATTAATACTGAACTAATGGGGGATACAAACATCAACAAGTTAAATTGATGCATGCTTAAAAATCTAGGTAGCAAATTCTGTGCTACAATTTTAACAGCAAAGTTATACACACAAAGATGAGAACACCCTTTATAAGATACATCCAGTAATTAATTGATGAACCCTTAGTTCATCATGGTTTTTAGCAGGAATTAAGATCAAATTGTGTGATTAAATGATGAAAAACTAGGTTAATGTCCTAATATGTCCTCAATTACAAGTTCAAGAGCTTTATTGGAAATTTGTATGATTCTTGTAGGAAAAGCAAGCTTGAAAGACAACTGGAGAAGGAAGAAGATTCTAGAGCTCAAGAGGAGAAAAATTGCCTAAGTGTTGAGCGCTAAAACGTTCACACTGAGCGTTTTAGGGCCCTGCTACTGGAAGAGGCCAAAACTTGCTGGTGATGAGCGCTAAAATGTCCACACATAGTGTTTTAGCGCAATGCTACACTAAGAAGATGGAAAATTGCTGGTCGTGGGCGCTAAAACGACCTGCAATACGCGTTTTAGCGCTCTAAAGTGGAAAAAGATTCTGATCTTCACCGCTAAAACGTCCAAATCAAACGTTTTAGCGTTGGAGTCAGTTAAAGTTAGTTGAGCATTCACCAAGTTTGGATGCTAAAACGGTCATTCCTTAATGTTTTAGCGTTGGAATCAGTTAAAAGCAGTTGAGCATACGTAAAGCATAGACGCTAAAACGGTCACTTATGGACGTTTTAGCGCCCACATCAGTTTTCTGTTTTTAATTGTAACACTATATAAGGCAAAGCCTTGACACTTAGAAGATATCTGGATCTGAGGGATCTGAACTCTCTCTCTCTTAAACTTAGTCTGACTTCTTTCTAAATTCTCTTAGTTTTTGTATTAGGATTTCCTTGTAATAGTTTGGAGATTGAAGACTTTCAACATGGAAATGAAGTTTGTTTCTTCTTCTCTTATTTCTTCCTTAGTCATGTCTGAGTAGAGTCTTTGTAGTCTGAATGCAATAGAACTCCATGATAATACTATGTTGATTTGATTAATATGATGAAGTATTTTTCATGTGTTGATTTGAGATTTTCTGATTTAATCATTTTTATCAAGGAAGTAATATAGAACAGGGATGTTTATATGACTTCTGTATTTGATAATCTCAACATCAGAATTCTAGTACTCAAGGGATTGATGCTAGAATTCTGATGTAATCTTAAAACTTTAGTAATTCATGCATGTATTAAGAAAGAGATCACCAAGGGATTGGGGTTTCTGATTAATGTATCCATCAGGGTAGTAAGGGATTACATCCTGATGATAAGTAAAAGGTTGATTAAAATCACATGGAAAGGAATTAATCATATGATCAGTTTTTTTTACATAGGTTATTGTGGAGGAAAATTGTTTTCTGACTACTTGTTGTTTTATTAATTCCTAATCCACATTTACTTTGTGTCAAATTACTTACAATCAATTTTCTGGTGACAATTTATTCATGATTTTTACAAACTTTTATTTGATTCAAATTAGTTTTCTATGGTATATTGGTGTTTGAACACAATTCCTCGTGGGAACGATCTTTACTCATCATTTTATTACTTGTACGACTAGTGCACTTGCTAAACGTCCAACAAGTTTTTGGCGCCGTTGCCGGGGAATTTGTTTTTCAGCACTAACTGATACTATAGAATTCTGAGATTGAATCTTTTTATTTTCAGTATTTTGGTTTATGTTAAGTTTCTGGTCAATTTTGATTCTGGTATATGCGAGGTACACTTGATCCGAATTTGTTGTTGTATGATCCAGAATTAGAAAGGACATTGAGGAATCACAAAAAGGCAGCCAGGCAAAGGAGACAGTTGCAAGAAATTGGTGAATCAAGTACGGTTAATCAGGAAGATATAATGGTAGAGAATCACAGACCACCACCACCACAGAGGACACTGGGAGAGTACATGACTCCTACAGTGATTCCTCCAATTGGGAGTGTTGTGCGCCCAACAGTAGAGCCCAACAACTTTGAATTGAAGCCTGCTTTGATTCATTTGGTGCAGAAGGATCAGTTTGCTGGAACCAGTGCACAGGACCCTTACTTGCACATAGAGAACTTCCTATTGTTGAGTGATACTGTGAAGATAAATAGTGTCACAAGAGATGCAATTCTGTTGAGACTATTCACTCATTCACTGACAGATGATGCAAGGAGATGGCTGCAATCATTGCCACAAGGAAGTATAACAACTTGGGATGATTTGCAAACCAAGTTCTTGCAAAGGTTTTTCTCAGCATCCAAGAGGGCCAAGTTGAAGGATGAGATTACAAGCTTTAAGCAGAAAGAGTCAGAATCCATTTATGAGGCTTGGGAGAGGTTCAAGACTTTGTTGAGGAAATGTCCACAACATGGAATCGAGGCATGGCAACAAGCAGCAATCTTCCTGCAAGGAATGACCACTAACACTAGAACCTTGGTGCATGCCACTGCTGGTGGATCATTGACTACCAAGACCCCTCAAGAAGCTTTGGATATCTTTGAGTCATTAGCATCTCAAGAATTTGATAATGCCCCAGTGGCTGACAGAAGGACAGGAGTCATCAGGTTGGATGGGTATGATGCTCTGTTGGCAAGGAATGATCAACTGATGCAGACACAGAGACAACAACAGCAACAATTAGATACCCTTATCAAGCAACTCTCTTCACAAAAGGTAGCCTCTGTGGAAACCAAATGTGTATCTGCTATCTGTGGCAAGGGCCATGTGACAGAGGAGTGTGATTATGGGGGATCATCAGAACAAGCAGAGGTGAATGGAGTGTGGTATGATCAGAATAATCAAAGGAACTACAACATTCAGGGAAAGAATGTTTATATGCCACCATGGAAAAACAAGAATCAACACCCAGGATTCAGCTATAGTTCCAACCATCAATTGAATCCACCATTACATCCTCCACCACCACATATGAAGGAGCAGTCAAGTGATCCTGCTGCATGGGAGAAAGCGTTTGCTCAGTTATCTAAGACAACTCAGGATTATATTCAAGGTTCTAATTCATTCAGGGAAGAGACAACTGCATTCATGCAGGAGACCATAACTTCTTTCAGAAATCAGGAAGCATCAATCAGAAATTTGGAGACCCAGATTGGTCAATTATCAAGACAGATATCAGAGAGATCACAAGGGAAATTTCCAAGTGATACACTAGTGAATCCTAAGGAGCACTGTAAAGCAATTATGACAAGAAGCGGGTTGGTACTTCAACCAGTGAAAAAGAATGTGGAAAATAAAAAGAATGAAGAAGAGGTTGTGGTTGAAGATGTAGTCTCTGATGATGAAGTAGAGAAGATGAAAAATGAGAAAAGTGAGAAGGAAGTATTTGTTAGAGATGTTATAGTTGGAATTGATAAAGAAGAGGAAGGGAAGAATAATAAGAATGAAGGAGAGGTAGAAGTTGGTAAAAATGCTTCCCCACAAAAGATGATGAAGTGGGAAAAGAAGAAGATGGCTGACAAGAAAGAACAGCCAGTTATTTTATCTCCCTATGCTAAAGTTCCCTACCCTCAGAGGTTGAAGCAAGAGATTCAGAAACAGCACTATGCAAGATTTCTGGATATCTTCAAAAATTTACAAATTAACATACCATTTTCTGAAGCACTGGAAAATATCCCTCACTATGCAA